ACTAGACACTGCCTAAGAAGATTTTATTTAGCGTTGGCAACATATTAGACAAGGACAGACCACTACTTCGAGCTATCTCACGTGGTTCGGTGTTTTACTTTTACTTAAAATAAACCTTAACGTAACTCCATAAGGTGTAAATTTGTAATATTGGTGTATCGAAGTGCGCGATACAGTTTATGAAATATATTAATATATTATAAATCCGTACTTGTTACTTGATGTATTTTTGTGGCGTTGCAATAAAAAAAATCTCGTTTAATTTCCGGAGGATTTTTTATTAGTCAAAATTATTATTATATCCACAAAAACCTCCCGAGATCATAATAAGATTATACTCAATTCGATTATAATGCATTTCGATGGTTTGAACATGGTTTGAGCATTTCTTTTTTGAGGTTATATTTTTATAATTTTTTATTATAATATTGAATTTGCGTCAAATTACAAATTATGTCAAACAAACAAATTATGTGTTATATAGCATTCGAGCTCCTTGTTAAATAATTCTTCAAGGTACTGCCACCTTACCTAGTTTTGCTCCAAGCAGTAATATGAGGATTACCGCGTTCCGGTTTGGAACGCCATAACGCGGCCTGATATTGCATACTTTTTGTCGTATCTTAGTATTTGACGTATAGAGTTCTTAGGTTTTCGCGATTGTTACACATAGGAAATGAAACTATTTTTCCGGATTTAAAAAAAAAAAATTAAATACGCGATTTAAATCCGGAACGATAGTTTAATTTCCTAATTATTTGACGGTTTTTGCGATTAGACTATTCAAGAATTGCCTTATATGCATTATCGGACTGCGATATGAATAGTAAATAAATAATATTTTTTTTATCATACCTTCTAGCGGGACGAACATGGCGTGCGCCTGGTGGTAAGCGACACGCCTGTCTATAGTTGCAGTGTCCTCAGAGCTTTAAATCGCAAAGATCTGAAGGGTACTACCACTGCGCCCGTCACCCTTAGACGTAAGTTGACAAGTCCCATGTTCCTGTAATTTCACCAGCACCCATACCCTTCAAAACCGGTACACAGTAAGGCTGACATTACTGCTTGTCGGCAGAAATAGGTAAGGTGGCAGTACTACCCTGAATGGACTCTTTCACAAGGGGCTCTACTGCTTCTAAATCACTTGATATTACTAAAAAATAAACTACAAAATGATATATAATCTCAGTTTTTTCTTTTTTTAGTACTCTGTATACTAAAAAACCGACTTCAAAAGTCATTCATCCCCTAGTTTGCCACTCTTAGAGAGGGAATATTTTCTTTAAATTTAAATGGGACCACTTCTGAGGTATCCTCTTTCCAACAAAAAAGATTCATCAAAATCGATTGGCAAATACTAGAGTTATCGCGTAACATACTTACAAAGAAAAAAAAAAAAAATACATACAGTGGCACTAAGAACCTCCTCCTTTTTTAGAAGTCGGTTAACAATTTGTAATTTGAAAATTAATTTCTCGATACATTTGAAATGAAATTACTTTTACGGACTTAGATCGCGTATGTCTTGTTTTTTTTTTTTCGGATTGTTTCACACGTACAGGGCCATAAATCTGCTAATTTTAAATCACGTCAGTTACTTGACGATAGACTGTTAATGGCAGGATTTTTTGTTGATTTTACATGTTTGGTATTCTGCTTTTCATCGGCGAGTCGATGGTGTATTGTACTAATTTATTTGACGTTACTTTTGATTCGTTTTTACTTACAATTGAACTGCTCATATCGAGTTTTATTTAATAAAAAATGCATTTAATTTGAATACTAAATTGCTGATTAAACGAGTTATAAAATATAAGACATGAATAGATTTAAAAAAATTCAACCACTATACAGTATCGGCACGCTATGATGGCCATTTTGACAGATTACAATTAGTGAGGTCAAATCTTAATTCATTATCGAAAAAAGTATAATCAAATTCTAGTCGTATCTATAAGTTTTTAGATTTATAACTAGTATTGCAAGGTAGCTGATTAAAAAGTTTTAATAACAGGAATTACAAATGTTTATATTGAGTTCTTAGGTTTTCGCGATTGTTACACATAGGATCCCATCAACCGTGACTATGGGACCTGTAAAGGGCCCGAAACGTCGGTTTGTCTGAAAAAACAAATATACGCGATTTAAATCCGGAAAAATAGTTTCACTTCCTATACAAATGTTTACTTAATATATCGTCAATTCGAAACTGCTTTGTTTTTCTTTGACGCGAGTTTGGCGGAGGTAGAAGTTGTGCTGGACAGCGATCCTATAAGTGACGATCATACTAGATTTCATTTTTTTAAATTTCGAATTTCGATAAACAAATGCCGACTTGTGTCGTAAAATCGCACGTCACTATTGGACTACAATGTACAGCAACTAGCTCCTTCAACGTAGTTATGACTAATACGAAGCTTGATTGATAAGCGGACCAACGTTAAAACGGTCATCATAGTGTGCTGGTACTTTAGTCAGTGTAATTCCTTTGAGACTCCACCGAGAATTGCAATTATGACAATATTGGCTATTCTGCTAAAACCTAGTTGGCATTCATTCATTCCATGCTCCGTCCAACCATTATTTAACTTTTCACAGCTCGAATTCTAATCGATTAGTGATGTGCTAATGAGTTTTATGACAATCGATTTTATTTATGAAGAACTTTTAATCATCAATGTGGGCGGGTTCAAAAGGGAAATATTGTCTGATTGGGATCGTGATTCCCGTTCATACAGAGAAGAATCCGACCATTCATTATAATAAACAATAAGAATTTATTATAATTATTTATAATTTATTGCATTACAAAATAATTTATTAGAGGTATCAAAATTTATCAACTTGAATAATCTTCGTTACATAATCTGTTGGCTCGATAAATATCAGAGTTAAAGAGCACGTCGCTTCAGTAAAATTAAAATATAAAAGAGTCCAGAGGGCCTACTAAGCCAAGTTGCGTGCTACTCACTTGACTATCATGACTTACATAAATTTGAACGGGAATTGCAAGGCAAGATGATGAGTTTTACTTTTTAAACATTAATTATTGTCTCTGGCTGGCTAGTTGACATCTAACAAGAGCGAGATGGAACTATATACTAAATCATATGAAAGAAATAGATAGATTTACTTGTTAGATTTAATTGTGTTCAAAATGAGAATAATTATATTTTTTAAATCATTTTATTAATGATTGTACTTATGACGTTATATTGTAATATCGGCAACTTATGGCATACAATTTGTCGTAAGACAAAATTACATGTCATGTCTAGCCATTATAATTGAAATAAATAAGGTGAGTTTGTAATTTGATAACATAATTGGAACGTATCTTGTATTCGTACATTTTCAATAATTAATGCGTTAATGTCAAATTTGGCACTATTTAAAACTTATTTTACGATTTTCGCTGTCAATAAAATGATTAAAATACAATTTAAAAATTGTAATTACATTCATACCATTGACTTACAATTATATGGACGTCGAGTCCGCGCTAAAAAGTGTCCGCACTTGTAAGGCGCTAAAATCGTATACAGAGCGCCAAACTCCGCTTTAGTCTTCATTTGTTCTACTGACAGTGCGATACTGCGATGACATTACAATTTAAATTTCGAATAGGTTGACTTGGGACATTTTTTTCGTGGTTTTTGTATTAGACCCGTCGTCCATTTATTTGTAAGTCAATGATTCATACTATTAATTTATTAACAATACTGTGTAGATGAGAAACTCGAACTAAACTATTCAAAAAAGTTCAATAGTTAATAGTATTTAGTTAATAATATTTATTATTAGTAGCCTAAAAAGAAAAAAAATAATAATGAAACTGAAAATATAAAAACGAAATTTCTTAAAAATATAACAAAATCTCGACATTTTCAAAAAAAAGTTAGTCACGGATTACTTTCTTTGAATTGCTTATTTTGACATATGAGACCGCCATGTGCATAGCAAATAGCACGTCATGATACAATTTTACAATGAAAGAAAAGGTGAACGGGTTTCGGATGGAAAACGTAAACTGTATGGACTGTGAATTGTTTTTGTGAGGTCATAGTACGAATTTGACAGGCGATCCAACATACGGGCTTAAACAGGATTGCTAGAGCATTTTTTTTAGTTTATTATCATGTATGTCAATATTGCAAAAGTTAAAATACTTAAATGGTTGGACGGAGTATGTCACTAACAATCGATGTTGGCTTACTAAAAACTACCGTGGAAATTACTATGCACATCTTATTTTTTGTTCAAATTGCAAATTAATCTTGAAATGACATGTATTTTTTATATGTGAAATAATTAGTAGACTGCGTCATCGAAATGCCATCGTCTCGCCATTGAAGACCAGAATACCAAAAATTGCAATGGCAGTTGAGTTAGCTCGATTACTAGCTACTGACAAGTCTATAAACCTTTACTTTTTTTTACAATGGTTATAAACGGGACTTTTAGCAGCGATATAAACGCGCGGTCGTGAAGCGCGTGATTGCATCGCACTTGCGATTTATAGGCGATTGCATCGATATAAATGCGCGGCCGCATCGCTAGAAACGCGCGTTTGTATCGATGCATTCGCGAGTTTGCATCGCTGCTTAAAGTCGCGCGTGTGTAACCGCTCTTAGAATAAATACCAAGCGCATAAAATTCACATTCTGTCGTCTCACAATTGAGATGATATAAAATTAGCAGACTTATAATGATATTTAAAAAATAATTGAATTAATGATAAAGAGAAAAAAAAAACAACAATACTGTTAATTAGTAATTCATTAAATTCTTTTTTGTGTAAATACTAATTTAAATTTGAAAATTATAACAATAGACACAACATTTGTGGCATTACTAATACTAACAGCATCCTGAATATATATATTCTTCAGATCTCTTCTAGAGATAAGCTCACCTTTGTATATGTCCTTTATAACTTGTGTTTCATGTATCTTTTCTTTGTGCAATAAAGAGTTATTATTATTATATATTTTCAGTATTAATGGGCAGTTAAAGACAAACAAAAAAGAATGGGATCAATCCAAAATTTCACTAGAAGAGGACGGCCGCCGATTTGCGAAAAGCATTAAATATAAAATTCATGTACCACTCGATAAGACAATTGTTTCTGAACGAAGCTTCAATGATCGACATAAAGATATCGAAATTAAGTACAGATATCAAAGGAAAGATAGAGAAGATAAGAAAGTGAGAAAAGAGAGGGAAGACAGTAAACAGAGATCTAAAAAAGCGAAGATTGCTGAAGAGAGCGCAGATATTAATGAGGAAGTGTTTACCAAAGATAGTAGTCAAGAAGATAGAATTAAACCAAAGAAAAAAGAGATCGACACTAGGTAAGTTTTTAAAAAATGAGCATCGCGCAAAGGATTAGGAACCAGGGCGCCTTCAAATTGGACGCTTATAGACGCGCTTCAATTTTTATACTAAACGCAATCTAGGATGATCCCTGTGACACTTCATTTGACGTTTGTCATATGAATGATACAATATATGAATGGTACGATATGATCTAGACTGTATTAGAACTGATTTAAGTTTTAAACATATTTGTATGTTGTTATGGGTGAAATTTAAATAATTTAAAACATTAATAAAAAACGTTAATACCGCCATCGGAAAACGTGTGACGCCCGCATTGGGTCAGAATAGCGGACCCTCGCCTGAGGAGACTCGTGCTCTGCAGTGGAGCGTATAAATGGGTTGATGATGATGATGATGACGTAAATTGTGACGTAATTCCAGTGCAAGAGGACCGCCGAAAAAAACAAAGTCGAAACGACCTCGGACAATTCCGAAAACCGTAAAATTGACGGAGAAGAATGTAGAGTTTTATAGAGAAAGAATGTGGCCTGATGGCGCAGTCTACTTCATTGTCAAGGACAATAAAAGATGTAAGTGTATTTTTTATAAATGTAATCTTTAATAAACTAAGAGAGAAGATTTAAACATTTAAACATGATTAAACTAGCGTCACAATACATTCATTATACAGAGTAAAATACTTTTTTTTATAATATCAGATGACGGGACGAACATGTCATGCGCCTGATGGTTAGCTACACGCCTGTCCATAACAGTTGCAGTGCCACTCAGAGATTTCAATCGTAAGGATTTGAGAGACAATGCCACTTCGACATAAGTCGCCAAGTTCCAAGTGCCTGTAATTTCACCAGCGCTCTTACTCTTAAAAACCGGTACGCAATAATGCCCATTACTGCTTGGCGGCAGAAGTACCTATTTCTGCCGCCAAGCAGTACTACCCTGGACGACTAACCTACCTATTACTAACATTGTGTTATGTATGCTGACGACATTTCTTTGCTATTCAGGTGTAAGGATGATAGTGACAGTATGAACAATATCCTACATTCTTTTAATTTGGTTAAAAACTGGCTGTCAGACCACAATCTTATGATCAATTTAGATAAGACTAGACTTATTCAATTCGGACCACATCAAAGGAAAAAACTGGACCTTAAAACTGTAGTGACTATGCTAAACATTGAGGAAGTAGAAAACTTTAATTTATTAGGAATAAATATTGACTCTCATTTAAAATTGTCTTCATTTACGTACGCATTAGCACTTTTAAAAACAAATAGTAATAAAAAAGCGGCGCTCGCCAGTTATTATGCCTACGCCTACGCATGGCTGAAATACGGCATCATGCTGTGGGGTAGTAGCACCAATAAAGAAGATATTTTTGTAATGCAAAAGAAATTTATTCGTATTATCATGAATGTGGGCCCCCGAGATAGTTGTCGCCCATACTTTGCCAAAGAAAACCTCCTTACTTTCCCCTCACTGTATATACTCGAAGCAGCATCATACATTAGGAGGCATATTCAAGACTTCAAACACGTACAGAGTTTTAGAAGGAACAATCAGCTCGAACTCCCCAAGCCAAAGCTAGAAATGTACAAAAACAGCCCATATTATCGCGCAATAAAAATATATAATAAAATACCTGCTGACATAAAAGATGAAGCTAATGATAGAATTTTCCATAAAAAATTAAAAATATATTTGACGGGGAAAACCTATTACACAATTGAAAATTTTTTAGACGATTAATTATATTAAATGATAATAATTACAACACCATAAACTAAAAATGAATATAATTATGATAATGAGCTGATTTATAATAATTTTGACAATGTGTTTTAGCTTATAAATTATTTTTGACATGCTATTTAAGTTTTTGACATTTTTATTTTATACTAAATTTTTACCAATTATTGTTTTAATTTTATTTTGTATAATTTTTTGAAGTACCTATAGAATTTGACAGTGGCCTTTTCAGGGTCATGTACTACACTCTAGTCGTAATGTTAATAAACATTGTAACACCTGACTACGTACATGTGACAATAAATATATGAATATGAATATGAATATAACATAAACAACAACTTTTGTTATAACCAATTATTATAGTATTATTTTATAATCATTAGCCATTGACTTACAATTATATGGACGTCGGGTCCGCGCTAAAAAGTGTCCGCACTTGTAAGGCGCTAAAATCGTACACAGAGCGCCAAACTCCGCTTTAGTCTTCATTTGTTCTACTGACAGCGCGATACTGCGATGACATTACAATTTAAATTTCGAATAGGTTGACTTGGGACATTTTTTTCGTGGTTTTTGTATTAGACCCGTCGTCCATTTATATGTAAGTCAATGTCATTAGCATATTATTTTGTAGCAGTCTTGTGAAAGAGTTCGTCCAGGGAAGTACTGGCACCTATTTATTCCTATTTATGCCAAGCAGTACTGAATGGTAAAGGTGCTGGTGAAATGACAGGCATATAGGACTATTGGCAACTTATGTCTCTTGGTGACGGACGCAGTGGCAGTGCCCCTAAGATGTTTGCGATTTAAAGCTGTTACTTAATACCAGGCCCACGACTTGTTCGTCCAGTCATTTGATATTATAAAAAAACTATAATTAAACATAATAGGAGAGCTGTATACACATGCATAATTTGTTTCAATAAATCAATGCTTTATTGCATTTTCTACAATGTTTTTTTACACAGTGGTAGGGTTAATATTAACAGATTATTGTAGACCCTGAATAGGGCACAGCAAACTGGTGAGGAGGACATACTATACTATAATAAATTAATTAAATTACGGAATTAGTCGGTGAAATAGATTATAAGAAAAATGAAAATCCTTCGGATCGAAGGAATTTTTTCTGGGTTTTCGATCTTTGTATTAATAATTATAACAAACTAGTGGAGTAATTTCACAAAAAATAATTGAATATTAATTCAATAAAAATTTAAAATACAGCGAATAGCGACATCTCTCGCCAGGACTGGTAACTGTTAATGTCCTAACTGGGTGATAAATGTTTCATAGATTTCTCAAAGATGGCCCTACAACTAAAAAGTCGTTGAAAAAACCAAATACAAAGACACGATGCAAGCACATAGAAAAATTCGTGAGATCCGCTGGTTCGTTCCGTGGCTTAGTTGGTATAGCGTCTGCCACGGTAAGCTAGACGATGTCGGCTCGAATCCGGCCGGATCTTTGTATTAATAATTATAACAAACTAGTGGAGTCATTTCACAAAAAATAATTGAATATCAATTTAATAAAAATTTAAAATCCTTTTTATATACATTTTTAAGATTTTAAAGGCCTAAGGTATGGGAATGCACTGGTCTTGCATTAAAATAAATTAATACAATTGAACAAAATCCAGACTTTATTAAAAATAATAAAAGATTTCCATATTACATTCTTACTTACATTCTTACTTACTTTAAAGGATACGACGTTCGGTAGCTTGCATTCAAACTTTCAGTCGGTTTCGAATACGACAGTTTGACGTTCGATTCGGGTGTTGTGAATAAAAATGAAAAGAAATCGTACGATATCAAAAGAATCGGTTATCGTAAGGTTTTGAATAGACCCCCTGGATTGTTAATATAATTTAAATTTGACCCAGTCGCAATGTCGTCGAAAGTTCAATATCTCTAATGCAAGTTACGACGTTTTGATTTTATATTGAAATTTTCATTCAACGTGCTGCCATCTTGCGGCTAGCAGCTGGACTTCGACGAACTATTAACATCTGAATCAATTCGATGAACAGAAGTATGAATATACGACTTACCGATGATATGAATACTACTATTTGGTGCGGTATAATTTTTTAGAGATTTTGTTCGAAAGAATGACACAACCATACCACACAAAGCGAAACTGGCGGACTGAACTCAGATAGGTCTTTCTAGACCTAATGTTGGCACACGTCATACAATAACCACTTCTACTGTATTTATTGTTTTGTGCCTATAACAAAATATTAATGAAAATAAAATCACGAATTTTCGTTCCAGACGACGTTGAAGATGTCCGTTCGCGTTTGATGAAAGTGAACGACTTGTTAACTGCAAAAACTTGCACGCATATCGAAGAAATAAAGGAGGAAGATGTGGAGCGGTACGAGGACTTCCTGGTCCTGGACGACAGCCCTGACTATGTCACCGGCAGGGTCGGTGGGAGACAGGTAAGGGTTACATTTTTTTATTAGTTACTTAGTTGTGTCCGCGATATTATAAGCGCAAACACGTAGCTTGGGCAGCTTTCAATATCGCAGTCCTTGAAGACAAAAGTCTTCGGGCAGTGCGTGTTGCCTAAAGTCATGCTTACTAAAGTCCTTATAAAAAAGCTCAAAAGTCGCTCAACGAGCTATGGAGCGGGCAATACTCGGCATTTCTCTACGTGATCGAATAAGAAATGATGAGATCCGTAGAAGAACGAAAGTCACCGACATAGCCCAAAGGATTAGCAAGTTGAAGTGACAGTGGGCAGGGCACATAGCTCGTAGAACTGACGGCCGTTGGGGTAGAAAGGTCCTCGCATGGAGACCACGAACCGGAAGGAGTTCAGAGTTCTTCCGAGTCGAGGCTCATAACTGTGATTCACAAATGGCCGGTCGGAAACTTTTGACATTTGAAATCGGAACAATAGTTGCTTTAAGTCACAAATTAGAAATACATAGTAGGAATCAGGTTCAACTTCTCGCTCAGAAACCCATCTGATTTCGAAACTACCCAATCGGGTCGATTCCGTTTTGAATCAAAATCTGAACGCTGGTAAGGGCGGCGGGTGACCGATGGATGCCGTCGTGTCCGTCTGGCAATCTTCGGGGGAGGCCTATGTTCAGCAGTGGACGTCTTCCGGCTGATATGATGATGATGAAACATGAAGGTCTCACTTATGTATCCTATCGCGGTCAATCGTGCACTATCAGAGATGGTCAGGGCGGTACGGTTTTAACCCGGCGCTTTGTTAATGCCGGGGTTTAAATCAGGTTTTGTGATGGTGGGCGTTGAATTAATAGAGACGAAATTCGTCATTTAATTTTTTTGAAACTTCTGCCAACTTATTACGGTGACAACTGCGACGCAATTAGCCACCTCGAATTCCAGCAGCCAATCGGAGCTCAGTTGACACCGAAATAATTTGGCGGAATAGTTTTCAAACTAAATGACATTTTGTCTCTATTTCTGGTTATATACTCGATGATTAATTACTCTGTAATACAAACTTGTATTCTTTACTTGTGCTCCTTATTGACACGTGTGATATAAATGTCTAGATGTATCAATGATGATTGTTTGGCATCGTGACAAGTTTTAATAGGTCGATGTAGTCAGTTATTAATAAATAGCAAAAAAAGCAAGCAATTGTAATAAATCAATATGCCGCACACAGAGAATGGTAACGTCACTATTCAAAAACCGTTATTTTTACCGTCATCTTGGATTTGAGAGTACGAAATTATTAGATACAAAAACCCCCGTGTTCGTTGTTTGCCCAGACTTTGTTGTATGACATAATCACGTTATGCTGTCTAAGGGGAACCGGGCATAGGCATAATTAAACTTGAGTCGCATTCAGTCCCGGGTTCAGTTGCACGTCGAGAGATGACATTAATTATGTATCGTCTGAATTCGAATTCATTTTCGATAGATGTTAGTACATTTTGTTGCTTTAAATGGTTAAGAGCTTGTTTCCGAGTTTTATTTTAGCTGAAAATAGCATCTTTGTTGTGTAAGAAATTGCAGTTATCAAAACCTTCTATATATAAGTGATATATATTCTTCTATATATGAGATTGTGTTATAGTGATAACTATTCAGAAAAATCACAATTTTCAGAACTTAAATTGTTCATTAAACATAAAAAATGTTGCATTGTGTCACGGTCATTTTCAGTGTGCGATGTAATAAAAATATGAAATTTTTATGTGTACTTCAGAGCAGGGTTGTTGCCAATGGTAGCACCTGCATCCACGGATTATCTGCATAAATTAAGACATCTGCATCTGCATCAGCATCCGCAGTCATCAATGCTTATATTAATTGCGGATTATCGAGTCATGACATGACCTAAAAGGCGCGCTGGAATAATTTACAAATCTTCCAGAAATAGACTGTAAGCCGAAAAAGCCGCTCAACTATTGTTATTAAAATATAACTTTGGTAAAATTCCACAAGAATTAACCTAGGCCATAGTTTCCCCAAGTGGTCACTACCCAGTGGACGCTGAACAGTCCTACGGGGGCGGTAAGGGCCTTGGAATTGGGGGGCGTTGATGCTGTCTAGGGCTTGCTACCGCATTTGAAAAGAAACCGGAATTATCTATACATATAAACTACACTAAAAACATTTTTTTTCCTTGTGATTTTTTGCGTTAAGGTACTACAAAAAATACGTGTTTTAATTTTTTTTGTAGTGGTGGGCGTTGAGATATTTTTGTCTTGCCTGAGTGGGCGGTGAGCCAAAAAGTATGATCTAGGCGGATTGATTGTTGTCATGAAAATTGATATAAAATATATATAAATAAATGTCACAAAATAGTTAAAATAATATTTTATTATAATACCAAACAAAATGGAAAGCTTTTACATGTAGATAGATTCAGTAAGGATGTACAATCGCGTTTTTTTAACCTTCTCTAAAAAGGGGGTAGTTCTCAATTCCAATTTTTTATATGTATGTATGTTATAGAAAGCTACACGCTTGTCCGAGATCTGAGGGGCACTGCCACTGCGCCTGTCATCCTGAGACATAAGTTTACAAGTCCCATGTACCTGTAATTTCACCAGCACCCTTAAGCCCTCAAAACCGGAACACAGTGATGCTCACATTACTGGTTGGCGGCAGAAATAGGTAAGGTGGCAGTACTTCCCTGGACGAACTCTTTCACATGGAGCTCTACTGCTAACTGCTTCCGTTTCTGCTTTCCTTTCAAGTGAGGGTTTACTTTAGATCCCGAGAACCTGAGAGGTGCGAGCTTGGACTCTAATCCACGACTTATGCTCCAGAGGCGGTAGGTCATGGTTAGGTCACTTAGGCTACCGCAGCTTATTTTCTTATGAATTTAAGCATTCTAAAACCTATATAAAAAGATGCATTGTCTATAAAAGATTGTTAATTTGATAAGTTAGTAAAAAAAAAAAATATCGACGAAGTTTTTATTATATTTAACCCGGCAACACTCGCTACTGGGTAAAAAATACCAGATTCGCTCTGGACCTTTGGGAGGGAAAAGTGTCGTTTTTATTTTGACTTTCAATTATTTTGTGAAATCTAGTTTAAAGTGGAATAGGATAGTTCTATTGTGCCTTAATCGAAGATTAAAATGCGAAATTATACGAATCTTGAACTAAAATACCCGTATCGGCCCGTTTTAAGGAATCCCGAGTCAATCCAATCACGCCGCAAAATTGCCTATCCTCTTTGTGGCGGCCATATTTACAGAAACATATTTAAACTTCATGTTTAGGCTGATGGCTTTGCCAAAGCCTTAATAAATTTTAAAAAAATGCCACAGAGTATTTATGTACGATTATTATTATTTTTCTGCGCGCCCTGGCTACACGGGGCTCTTGGTACCTTCTAACCAATAGTTAATGCATATGCGCACCACAAGACAGCAGTATGCACGCGGTCCTTGGCGACGACATACGAATTAAGTGAGTATAGATAAAAAAAAACCCGGTAGCGACAGTACTTGTTATATTATTTTTCAGTTTACTTATGATGGTTTTCATCAGTCTTTACGACGACCAAGGGCAGGGAAGATTGTAGCACCCTTTTCGGGTTTCAAGAACACTGTATACGGTGGTGTCATGTATCCCAAAGAAGTATCATATATACCTACTCATGTACATATTTTTTTTCCATTTTTAGTACTTTTGCACGATAATCTATAATTTTTAATAACTACTCATAACAAGTTGTATTTCGTAATTTTATTTATTACGAATAACATAATTAAAACTACTACATCTTCACAGATTGAAAAATCAATTTTCTTTTCTTAGATAATGCCCTTAAATTCTGTGGTATTTTTTACCAGCAGCAAGTAATCGTGTCTGTAAACACCTAGAGAGTGCCGACGGGTTAAATTCAAATTCAAATATTCATTTCTTTCGTAAGTAAAATTTGTACACTTGAAAACGTAATTTTTAAGCTACTGCTCGCTCACTGCGCTGACCTCCCTGAGAAGAACGAGCTAGATACTTTAGGGATTGCTCTTTTCAAATAAACTAAATGCTATGGAATACACTTTGAATCATAATTGTGTGGAATCTAGACTCATGTTGTCATCTTTCTCTTTATCTAACACATTCCCTTAAATTTAGTAATATGACTTTATAGAAAAAGTAAATGAAGAAAGGGCATTTATCATAAATAGCAATTTAATGTAAGTGGTGTAATTTAGTATTATTGTTTTAAATTGTTTGTTTTAACAGTGATATGTATAAAGTTTACTCTTTATACTAAGTGCACAGTTCACAAAGACAGATAGATAGAATAATTCTAAAAACTGACATAAGACATAAGACTGCAGTACTAATAACTATGTTTTAGTTTATTCTAATTTCTATTATTAATTAATAATAAATTGAATTTAATAAAAATTCATTCAATAAAATAATTTGTAAAACTTAATGTAGCGTAAATTGGAATGTTTTCTTTGGAAAATTAAAAATAAGGTATTTAATAAATAACTATTGTAAGTATAGTGAAAAAATAGGGTGGTTTGCATTAATATTAGACATAACTGGTTGATGACTGTACCACCTCAGTCAACCGTGATCATGGGACCTGTAAAGGGCCCGAAACGTCGGTTTGTTTGAAAAAAACAAATATACGCGCTTTAAATTCGGAAAAATAGTTTCATTTCCTATGTGTAACAATCGCGAAAATCTAAAAACTCGATAAGAATTCTAATAAATTCGATTTCTTTTTTAAGCCAATTTGTGCATCCAATGCACGGTTCTAGATTTTTCTATAACTTCAAAAAGAGCAGACTCAAATTTGCAACCCTAAGTTACATTATTCTCGTATTTTTTCATACAAAATATTTAAACAAAAAAAAAATGTTAGTGATGTTGTTCCGTGTTCAAAAAATGACGCAAGCTCCAAAATTATTTTACTATTTTAAGGAAACTTGTCGAACTTTTTGGAAAGATCGAGTTGCAGTACTAACTCCGTTACAAATATAACCTCTTTTAAGCTGGCTTTTTGCTCAAAGGAAAATAATTTGCTAATAATAATATATAATAATAATAAATAATTTAAACAGATAATTTAAGCTTTTTTGGAAAAGAAATAAAAAAGAAGGCATAAAAAATTATGGCCTACATGCTATGATAAGTATAAAAAAACCATGTACGTACGTACATTATGCTTAGGGGATGGAAAAATAGTCTAAGACATTATGCCACATTTATTTATTTTTTTGTTAATTCTGTCAGTCTTTTGAACTGCAAATTTGAACGATTTATTTTTCATTTAATTAGTTGACAAATTGGTATATAAATTTTTAAAACAACACTTGCAATCTACACGTACATGTAACGGTTACAAAATGCTTAAAAAATGTAAAACATGGTAATGCTACTTATAAAGAACCTAGCTCAATGTTTGGATGAATTTTAGTCCAGAGCACAGTAAACTAAATTATCTACGAAATTAATTTTATTGCCTCTTTATGTCAAACCACGTGATCACGAATACAATTAATTATATCAGTACACAAGCATCTAAATTAATCACGTGACTCGGCGAAGTCCCATTTTCATTCAAATCTTCCAAGAAAAGTACACGTGAGACTATCGTTCATAGTTCAGTAGTATTAGAGAGAGATAGAAAGCAAACATTGTGGTATTGTCTCATGAGTGGGAAAGAGATGCAAGATACACGTGTTTTCTGTGATATGGCTTACATCAATCTGCCAATGGTGTCTTAGGGGTGGCCAGCTTTTAGTAAAACTGCAGAGTGTGTGATTTCCTGTAAATTATATTGTTTTAACAAACAGTTACTAAACAAAATAGTTGATTTTGCAACTTCAATTCTCTGAAGCTCATGCATATGAATAATCAAGAGAATAATATTAATTTATATTTGGTGTTATCTAAATACAAACAAAACGTATTTTTCACAGCTTATTATTTATTTATATACATATATTATATATTATTGGTATAAGAATATAATAGGATAACGAAAAAATATTTAAAATATTTGTTAGCATTAATATTAAAAGCATAAAAAATATGTATATGCAACATTTTATTAAGAAAAATTTTCGAATAAATTGGTCATTTAACCTATTTTCAGAAAAGAAGAAACTTTAAATGATAATCGCAAGCTTAAGATCTCTCCAATGCAATCCTGCTGATTTGCAATATAAAGTTGTGCAGTTTTCACATTCCTAAATTGGCAACCCTGTACTCCGGAACATTCGACCAATCCTGCTTTCTTATTCGCTGCCACATTGTCAGCTGTCGAACCTTCTCGAAACTAATTGGTTGAGGGTTTAAATACACGCGGCGCGCGCATAATCTGTCAGTTTGATTTTACGACGTGAGACTACGTTTCTTCTTTTGAAGTTGTTTAGAACTTTTATTTCCCGCGTAATTGAGTTTGAAAAAAAAAAATTCGATGGTTGCTATTGGCATTGACTTAGGTACTACGTATTCTTGTGTGGCAGTATGGAGACATGGCACTGTGGAAGTGATTGCAAACGACCAGGGCAACAGAACAACGCCAAGTTACGTTGCTTTTACTCCAACTCACCGTCTAATCGGAGAGTCGGCGAAAAATCAAGCTCCTATCAATCCATGGAACACGATTTTTGGCGCGAAAAGGTTAATTGGAAGGCGGTTCGAGGATGTCGGCGTACAAATGGATTTGCGGCACTGGCCATATACAGTGATTAATGAAAACGGTAAACCAAAGATAGTGGTAGAATTCAAAGGTGAGAAAAAAATATTCGCGCCAGAAGAAATAAGCAGTATGGTACTTTTCAGGATGAAGCAAGTTGCTGAGGCGTATCTGGGTGAACAAGTTCAAGACGCCGTGATTACAGTTCCTGCTTATTTTAATGACTCTCAGAGGCACGCTACCAGGGCAGCGGGCGCAATCGCAGGTCTAAATGTTTTAAGAATAATTAATGAACCAACAGCTGCAGCTTTGGCGTACGGATTGGACAGAAACTTAAAAGGGGAGAGGAACATCTTAATTTATGATCTCGGTGGAGGGACCTTCGATGTCTCCATACTAAGTATAGGCGAAGGGTCGGTATATGAAGTCAAATCTACAGCCGGCAATACTAGATTAGGAGGAGAAGATTTCGACAACAGGTTAGTTGCTTACTTTGCTGAGGACTTCCGAAAAAGATACGGAAGTGATATAACAAAAAATATCAAAGCTCTGCGGCGTTTGAAGACTGCTTCTGAACGTGCTAAACGGTTTTTAACTTCAATGACCGAAGCGTCGGTTGAAATTGAATCTTTGCATTTAGGAATCGATTATTACGGAAAGATCTCAAGAGCTTTATTCGACGAGTTGTGTTCAGATCTGTTTAAAGACACATTGACACCAGTCCAGCAAGCGTTGGAAGATGCAAGGATGACGAAAGATGATATCAACGAAGTTATTCTGGTTGGTGGGAGTACTAGGATACCAAAGGTGCAAAGTCTATTGCTGGAATTTTTCGAAAGAACTTTGACAACATCAATAAATCCCGATGAAGCTGTGGCTTATGGTGCAGCGATCCAAGCTGCAGTCTTAAGTGGAGAAAATCACGAAAAAATTAAGGATTTATTACTAGTTGATGTTGTGCCATTGTCTTTAGGCGTGGAAACGGCTAGGGGCATGATGTTCAAAGTTATAGAGAAAAATACAGCTGTTCCATGTCGACAAACCAAAGATATAACTACACTGGAAGATTACCAAAGACTTATGACCATAGAAATCTTCGAAGGTGAGCGTACTTTGACCAAAGACAATAATTTACTCGGTGTTTTTGAGTTAAAAGATATACCGCCTGCGCCAAGAGGTGTTCCAAAAATAGATGTAACGTTTGATGTCGACGCAAATGGTATTCTTTCTGTGACAGCTCAAGATCGCAGTACAGGAAATACAGAAGGAATAACTATCACAAATGACTACAGATTGAATCAGGAAGAAATTGTCAAAATGATAGCTGATGCAGAGGCCTACAAGGAGGAAGATAAGGAACAAAAACGTTGCCTGGAAGCCCGGAACCAGTTAGAGACTTACGTTTATAATGTAAAGCAGTCAGTTATAGACAGTGGAGAAGATCTAAATGACCAAGAGAAGACGACGATGTTACAAGATTGTCAGGATGCTATAAATTGGATGGATTCTAATACAGACAGTTTGCGAGAAGAATTTGAAACAAAACTGACGGAGTTGATGCGCAAATGGTCCAAAACGCTGACTAAGTTTTATAAACCTTGCAGACATCAGGCAAAAAGGCAGCGAAGTGAGAACTATCAAGCAGAATTGGGAGAACACGAAACAGCTACTATAGAAGAAGTAGACGGTTAAGCTATGGTTAAACGATCACTTTTGAAATAATATTTTCAATTTATGTATTGCTTTTCAATCAGTCTCCGAGGGTAAGTTTTCCTATGTTTATTAAATTGGTATTATTTTCAATTTGGTATTCATAAACCTTTACTCATTAATTTTCCTTCAATATACTTTCAGAAGGAACAATAACTGGAAGATGGAGAACGTATAGCGATGTCTTCGAAAAAAATCACCCAGGAGCTAGGTGAAAAATCTCAGAAATAGTTTCAACATATTTTTATGGACTTTGTATCGTATGAACGTTTATGATGGAAACCGTTTTATAATCGGAACCATCATTGGTACGTCTAAACACAAATTACATCATTTATACTTAGTCCAACCATTTATTTAACTTTTGACATGTGCCTCCGAAGTTAATAATTATAATAAAATCGTTTATTTATCTCCACACATTAATAACTAAAAGAAAAAAATGTATATATAAAAGTTCTACACAGTGTTTAGTAACAATAGTGGTGTGAGATAAAAAGTCTGTAGCTCAGCACAATTGCGGAGTGTTTCGCAACACCGCTGATATTCTGCTACAGCCTACCATGTTCATAAAAAGAAGAACTAACACACACTATCATTCTAGTTCTAAGATTTCAAGCAGATTATTAGGTATTTACCACACACATGAATCGTCATATAGATTTTTTTATTACTATTACGCACAGAGCACTGTCCACACACAACTACACTACAATGCCTACCTCCAAGGTTTGTCTGGACAATAACCAATTATATATGACAGTCTCGCACAGGCGGGGAAGATCAGTCCACACCTTGGAAGCGGTGTATTTAAAACAACCCGAAGTCCCGACTAAAGTATAGACAGGTAGCTTATAATTATTATCCCGATCTCGCAAATAAGAAAGACTGCTTTTCTGTACCAGTTTTTCAAAGAGATAAATCGGTACCTTAAACTTATGTAAGGATTGTACAAAGCAAGCTAATTTTAATACTCTGGAATTGGCAATGTAAGCTGTTGTGTGAAATATGTTCTCTTTTACGTGTTCTAAAACAGTAACGCATACAAGAATTTTGCACTCTTTAATAGCCTTACTAGTCTTAATATACAGACGAGGGTCAAAAACGACGTCACGGTACTGCACATGAGGTAACACCAGTGCATTGCATAATTGCAACCGTATTTTTGGACTTAAATAACTTCCCAAAATATATTGGGACCTAAGAGCGCCAAAACAACGCCCTATTTTCTGGAAAACGTGTTGTTCGAATCCTAAGCTCTTCATCCATGAGAAGACCGAGATTGCGAACACAATCCTGCCTTGGAATTCGAGTAGCCTTAACAGTTATCACGATAAAAACACTTTTTCCTGGATTCAGCACGAGGCCATTACGATCAGACCAGTCGGCCACTGAATCCAAGTCCGAACATATTTTGCTAACAATTGCCGTAACGTCATTAGGATCTGGTGGAATGTGCATGTACAACTGGGTATCATCAGCGCACAAATGGTAATGGCAATGGGTGATATCAGATGGCAAGTTACTCGTGAATAGGGAAAAGAGGATTGGTCCTAGTACAGAGCCCGTAGTTCCGTAATTATTGACATACAACCATAGACAAAAAATGCAATACTTCCTGCACTCTTTTATTTTTTAATTTTAGTGAAGCGACGCGCTCTTTAGCTCCGATATTTATCGAGCCAACAGATTATGTAACGAAGATTATTCAAGTTGATTAATTTTGATAACTGTCTAATAAATTATAAATAATTATAATAAATTCTTATTGTTTATTACAATGAATCGTCGGATTCTTCTCCATATGAGCCAGGATCATCATCTCATAATCATCAATCATCAAACATTAATTATTAATTCTTGAGTACACAAATTGCAACATGACGATTCCAATCTGACAATATCTTCTTTCACGATTAAAACTTCGTCATAAATAAAATCGATTGTTATAAAAAATCGAATCAGAAACCCATTAGGAAACCATTAATTGATTAGAATTCGAGCTCTGAAAAGTTAAATAAATGGTTAGTCGGAGTATAGTTGTAAAAACTTCATTACAACAGACGTTCCAGCTTGTATTGTTATAAGTGGATATCTGCCGCCCGCTAACTAAAACGGCTAAGTGACAAAATATTTATTTGAGATGTTATAAAAAACCTAAGCCGGAATATTGAAATTGTTTAATAACATTTCAGCCATGCATCGATAAGTTCCGATAAGTTGAACACGTTAACTAAATTTAACAGTTTTTAAAAGAGAATTTTGTGCTCTATCTTTTTCTATTTGAAACGGATATTTGACCATTTATTAAAACGCGGTTAAGTGATTAGCAGCGTTTTAGTTAGTGGACGGCAGATATTGTGAAGTTGATTTTCAGTGTTTCGCACAAATTTGCTCAAGTTGTTTGTTTTTTGAGAAGGCCATATTGGCCTATGGATCAACACGGTCCGTTTTTACCGTGATCTTTTTAGTTTTTACTTTTTATGCCATTTATGTTAAGTCGTTTGTCTAGGAGAACGTAGCATATTCAGCAAAATTTAGCTTGATTACAATGACAGGTTAGCAAAATTTAAGACGACGTAAATTTGTAGCAACGTCCTACACATTTTTTTTTAAACATCGCAAAACAATAGTTATTTTACATTATTTACGCTACCACCAATTAAAATACGATAACAGAAATTCACAAATTACTGTCGAATGTTAAATCGGTTAAGTAAGTAAGTATCATTAATATATTTATTTTCACAATTTCAAGAGATTACGTTACGTCGGAAAAAGTTTGTAATGGGACATGTCGTAAATACAGAATCGATCAACTTATCTAGTCGAAATATGGCTTGATGGTATTTCGTTATTGTCACTAAAATTTTTTTAACCAATGTGTCTCAATATACTATTATTTTAGGAAAAATCGGTTTTTTTAATGACAAAGTGACGGGACGAAAAAGTCGTGCGTTTGTTGGTAAGAAACATGCCTGTCCATATAAGTTGCAGTGCCCCTCAGAGCTTTAAATCGCAAATATCTGAGAGTTACTGCCATTGCGCTCGTCAACCTGAGACATAACCTGACAAGTCCCATGTGCCTGTTATTGCCGTACTCTTCAAAACAGGAGCGCAGTAATGCTTCATTACTGCTTAAGGGCAGAAACAACAGCTACTAAAACGTCAGTCGAATCTCAATTATATAAGTTAATTTCAGCGACCATCATAATATTATGTCACTGATTTAAATAGTCAGTCGATAAATTTTTCATCGATTCTCTATTTCACTGATCGTGTCCCATCACTGATTCATGAAATTTGACAGTAGGTATCTTTCAAATCAAGCAAAATTTTGCGGAGTTTGCTTTTGTCAATTTGTTGTTTGTTGCATTATTAACTTACGGTGCTTTGACAAGATAATAAATTGGAAGTAATATAGATATTATTAAAACTTTATTTTTTTTAAGTACGTAGACAAAAATAGAGTTTTTTGAAATTTGTTCCAAACGCTTTAAAAGCGTTGCGCTGTATTTTTAAAAGTGGTTGATCGTTGAATTATTTTTTATCTTTTTTATAATGGAACAGTCAAAAAATGGACCGGATAAGGATAATAATAATCACCACATTTATTCACACGGAATCGGTCAAAAAAAACTTTATGTCCATGCAATAAGATGGAAAAAGAGATTTGTGCGATTAGCTTACGATCGGGTCGCCCCGATGCGAAATGCATATTGGTCATTTTTGTCCTTAATACATGAATATAAAGATTTTGCTGACCGTCTTAATGCGAGTCGGTGTCGATGAGTGTGGAGACTCCTTAAATAAATCTACAAACACTTTGTAGACTTATTTATCCGGTCTATTTTTTATTCATTTAAAGTGTTTGTGGTCAAAAAGCTTGTCTTATTGAGAATGTAATGTTATCGGGAACGCTTGCTATGGTCGACGACTTTTTGAGTTCGTGAGAACATTGCGCAGGCTAATTCGTTTAGCAAAGAAATTGTAACTTGATGTGTAAGCTTAAATCTGTACAGAGAAAAGGCTATGTCAAAGGTCTTTTTTCATGCAAAAGTTCTTTCATATTTGTGTCCAAACGTGCTCTTTATACTCGAATATCGATGTGACATAAGTAATCTCTTTGTTTCAACATATTTAAGGTTATTCCATTACTTATTTTAGCTTATCAAATCGCACTGTTAAAACAATAGTGTATTAACTCAAAAAGTGTATTTTTTTTGGAATCGATGAAAATCGAATTATTAGCTTCTCGTGAAAGGTTATTGAAATGTATGTTTGTCGCATGTTAAGTAGATATTATATTTAATTTGTTTTTTACAATATTCTAATGATGTTTTATTGATGTGCAGAATCAAATTCTACGTTCAGCAATCTTGAATTTCACATATTTTGAGTTACAACACTATTGTAACAGTAGTGCGAAATATTTCACAATATAATTAATTTTAAGTAGAAAACAGACACTTGGACATGAGCGAAAACGTTTGTGCGAAAACAGGGCTGTGACTTATTTGTCTCTCTGTTGACTAAAGGAGTCACCACACTTGCGGGATCAGTTTGAGCCGGTCAGAAAATGCATCACGTCAGAGATGTCCGTGTCGAAGCGAAACGCACAACTTCTTTTCACTATTATTATTCAGATTGCATCGATGGTTGGGTTGATCTTTATCGTATTGACTTGCAGCCTAAAACTATGGGACAAGGTTTACAATTAGAGTGAATCGGATTATGGTTCTTGCGGATTGTTGCCCAGGTTATGCCACGCGTACAAAGAGGTTTCTTTCGTGCACCCCAATTTTTACTCTTCTTTAAGGGACTATTTAGCTGTTTTCTCACTAGCTCAAGCCGATTGTGTTGTTAAGTGTGGTGAGTCTTTATCGTAGTAACATTTGGCAACTGATTTAAAATCTTGTAGCTCATACTAAATTCGTTCTAGCTACGAGTTATGTTCATAATACATAAATGGTAGACATACCACGATTGTACTATCTTTGCTGTTAAAGGTTGAGCTTCTTGTTCAATAACGACAATAATGCTACATACGGCGGTTAGTTACGAAGGGGATTATATTACGTTTAGATTAATTTTTAAATATTTTAAACTAGTTGTAGCTTGTGGTTAACCACATTAAAATGTGTTTTTTTAACCTTTAAAAGGCTGAAAATTTTGAGCTCTCTATATGTTTCGGAATGCCGAAGGCCTAATTTCTGTGAGTTCTCGGATTAAGGTACCTTTTTAATTATTTATGCAAGGGCAGGTTAGTTCATTAATGATGTTAACGTGTTACGATATTTAATTTTTCACAGTATTATAATAGTGCCGGAAATGAAGAATCGGACTGGCAGCGTAACGGTTTTTATTTGAAAATATACAGAGAAAAATAAGAGCCAGCGGAAACCGCATGACGGGAATGATTCAATGTCCTCATATTGAATTTATCAATATATATATTATGCTATTTCAATTGCAATAAAGTACAGATTGTAACGCTTTGAGACCGACCTCGGAGCATCGCGGGGTATCTCTGCTTTGCATTTACAAACTAACGGTCTCTTGACAGACCCGGTCCGCCAAACCTATGAACTCGATACATTTGTTTAGTAACAAATTCCTTTGTCTAACAGTGAAGGAAAAACATATAATGAAACTGGTATGCCATAGAAAGTCCATATCCCTTGGATAACTTATAAAGTTCCTAAACTATAGCCTATAAATGACCAGCTGTGGGCCGGTCGTACTACGTGTATTCGATTGTAAGAATGACTTAAAATTTGTACATAAGGTATAGTTGAAGAAATATTATTTGCACCGATGAATGTTATCTTTTGGAACGGCTCATCCTTTTTATTACAACAGGGTAATAAAACATTTCTTTTACTTAAAACGTACATGGATATGATCTTGGTCCATTGTAGCAGTCATAGGTTCGCTAAATGCTTCTTCTGAATTCTAGTTTTCAATTATTTCTTTACTCTTTCGAAAAATGCCGACCGCCGGCTCTTGTCTCTTTTCGACTCATTCTACAAGTTATTTACGTGTAAAGATCATCAAGTTTAGAATTAAGTGCCAATGAGTAAAAGTATTTAAACTAGTAGTTTGTACTATACAGATGGCACGTGCATTATACCGAGACGGCTCACTCTTTTATCCTCTAAAGTATATTATTAGATATTGTACTTTAAAGGTGGAGCGATAAGACGAATAGGTGCAAAAAATATTTCGCCAACTTATACCTTTGTCTGTGGATTGGCTTGTTTGAGAGTCATCAGCTTTATCGCCAAGGAATAGAACGATATACTTCCACTTTCGGTCTAATTGTACTCAAAGTTTTTTAGACCGGCTTGTGTCAATTTTGTGTCGACAGGTGTGGTTACTACCTTTAATAACACAAGGCGTAACACCAGCGTTCTAGTGCTGCCATTACGGCTTAAAATGGAACTAGTCAATTTTATGTCTCATTGTTAATTGTATAAAAGTTGCTCATCTGGAATTGAATCTGTGTTAAGTAGAAATTTAAAAAAATTATATGTTGTTTTAGAATTTAAGTATTTGTTATTTTTAAAAGTCAGTTATTTTTACAATTGTACACCAGAATCTCATAATATATGTATGGTTTTGCAAAGTATTTGTTTAATTTTTGCATTTTTTTAAGGGAGGCACTATAAGTGTTATTACATACACATGTGTTAGTAACAATTTTATTCTTAAAAAATATGTTAGTAGGCACTAAATCTAAACATTATTAAATTAAAATTAAAATAAAAACATGAACATTTGAGGCAATTAAAAACGAGGCGAAAAAAGTTGCCTCATAAAGGGAGAGTCAATTCTCCTGGCAATGGTTTTCAGTATTGGGTTGGAGCTGGCTCGCAGTCTGCAGAGCAGTGAGGCCGACTTTTTGCGCATAATGGCATAAAAGTCATCAGTGCGAGCCTGTGCAAACATGCCTGACGCGCTGCAGAACCGCGGCAGCCCCAACAACATACGAAAACCATTGTTATATTGTACTCGCAGGGCGCTGATGGCTCTGTGCGTATAGTTGGTCCAAAGGCTGCACGTGTAAAAAACTTGGCAGTATGATTTAAAAAGTAGAATCTTTACTTGTTCACTGCAACGCGCAAACCTTCGCACCACCATATTACACCTGACCGCCAGCGCCCTGCGTTCCCTCTCAATATCCATGAGGTCCCTAAGGTCGTCGGAGACAAAATGGCCAAGATACTTGTATTGATAGACCCGCTCGAGTTCTATATTGCTTATCTTAATGGGTGGAACATAGCTCGGTAATTTGCCCCCGGCGGCCCTAAAGACCATTATCACACTCTTTTTTACATTATATGTCAAGCCGTGTGACTTCACATACTCTTCGCACATATGCAGGAGTACCTCAAGTGCTCTGACCGTTGGGCTCAGCAGGACCATATCATCCGCGTAACTAATCTTATTGACACTAATGTCATGTACTCTACATCCGATATGCTTACTGCTGAGCCCAACGATCAGATCATTCACGTACAGATTGAAGAGCTTCGGTGACGATATTCCACCCTGCCTCACCCCGCACTCCAACCTATAAGAGTCCGAGAGCTTATCGGCCCACTTCACACTGTTTACCTGATGGAGGTACCAATACTGGAACATGCGAAGCAGCTCCGCCGGTTCTGCTCAAGCAGTTTGGCCCAGAGTACATCGTACGATACGAGGTCGAACGCCTGGGATAAATCTAGAAAACAAGCATAAATAGGCGTTCGACGCTCAGTGTAGTACTGGACCGTGTGCTTAAGGCTCAAGATAGCGCTCTCAGTTGATAGACCTGGTCTGAATCCAAACTGGGCGTAGTGCAGCTGCAATATATTCCCCAATTGAGCATCCAAGAGGCTGTCCAGAACCTTCGCGAGTATTGTTGCTAGTGAAATGGGCCGATAATTACCTTTATCAGACACATCGCCAGACTTATCCTTAGGAATTGGCACTACAATTGTTTTCATTATATCAGGGGGCAGATAAGAATGACTCATGCACAGAGAAAAGAACATAGAAAGCAGTCTAGGTAGATGGACGCCTGCATGTTGCAAGTGCTCGATACTGAGCCCGTCGTGACCCGGCGATTTTCCACGCGACATCTTAATTATTGCACTTTTTACCTGTTTAGCGGTAAAACGCACCAAGTCGGAGTCACGACAAGCCCCCGAAACTAACACTTGCTGTGCAGAACCCAGTGGAGACTGTACTTTAAAATGATCAACAAATATATTTGCAATACATACCGGGTCACTCGTTCCCTCTACGCTTGCAGGCAGCCCAGGCCTGACATCTAGCTTCCTTGTGGCTTTCCAGAACTTCGAAAAATTTTTTGATGCACAATGTGAAGCAATTATGTCAAGCCTGATCTGTTCTTGGTGTTTTTTTTTGTATTTTTTTTAAAGTTACAACATTAGTCCTAATAGCACGCACGTGTTTGCGGCATAAAAATTCTATGATGATGATGAAAATGCCATATGTCATAGACTATGGAAGTAACTAAAGAAAATCAGCCTCGCAGTTTCTGTCTAAAAGTATTCGTATTTTTTTCATATCACTTATTTGTAATTAGACAATGAATAATATCAATTACATATAAATATAGGTGATAGTACATTAGTAGGCGCACGAGCACATATTTATCCTGTTGGTCCTACCAGTAGGAGCATAAGGACATATTAGTCCTCGTGCTCCTACCAGCAGGAGCACCCAGTTGGAGCATGAGGTAACGGCCTGTAATTCGTGTTATTTTTATAGTTTTCATTGTGATGAAAGCACTCTTGACGTACGCTCACTTATGGGTTTATTACACCCTCATAAAACAAGTTTTGTCACGCGTGGTCCCTAATTTGTTGTTCAAGTTTTCATGTAAAATTTCTAGTTCGTTTTTCGAAATAAATACTTATTTTTAACTTGGATATTTTTTTCTTACACCATATCAGATTACTGAACTATACGAATATTACTATGAAAATTGGTGAAATTACAGACACATGGGACTTGTCAACTTACGTCTCAATGTAATGGACGCAGTGACAGTGCCCCTCAGATCTTTATGCTTTAAAGCTCAGCAGCATTGCAACTGTTATGGACAGGCGTGTCGCTTACCACCAGGCCAGTTAATTGGTATCATAACAAATAATTATTTATAATGGCCTTCCACTAGAAACAAGAAACAAACATTATATTGGCAAAGAAGAGTCTAGGAATTCATACTGTAAATAGTGTTTTATACGCCACGTTTAATTTTCAGAATTTCGGCGTAGTGGAGCTTTTAAAAGGCGGTCAGCACCGCCAACACGCCGCCATGATGGTAATGGCCATGCTCGGCTTCTACTTCGAAGTTGCCAGACACGATCGCGATAAGTACATTCGAGTGCATTTGCGGCATGTGAGGCCCGGTTAGTGAACTGTACTCTACAATCATTTAAAGGATTCATCATTTATTTGTCAAAAATCTCGCAGGACTATATTACTAACATCTTAAATAAAAACTTTTATGATTTTTTCTCAACCCAATCCTAATTAAGTAACTTTTTGATAGCTGAAAAGAACCATGCTGCTTAACTTCATAATTATAATGTAAAATATTATAATTTTTAAAATATGCTAAATGGGTCCATGTCACATGTACTGAAGAACTGTAGATCTTTAGCGTTTTCATTACGAAAACTAGAACATGGTTCTCGTTAACTAAATAAAAAGATACATAATGTTTTCTATTTATTGCTATATAAAATAATGGTTTCCCTATATCATTTTCAATGCTACATATAACTCACGTCGTTTGTCTCAAATAACTTACCTATTTATTTCTTCATACTGTTTTTACAAAAATCTAATTATCTCGATTAAATTAATTAATAATTATTCCATCCATTTTATAGATGTTATCATATGAAATATGTATTTATCTAAGTATTTATACAGTAATTTAATATTTTTGCTATTTTTTAAATTATTTTATTACATTTTTTTAATTTCATAATTTTGCTTTGTTGTGCACGTTATGACCGTTATTGTAATTATTGGCTCCTGTATTTAGGTCTGCAAGAAGAGATTTCTGTTACAAATAAGCAGTACCTTTTGTTTGTTTTCCGTTTTACTAAATGTGATTTGCATTTGCCTGTACAATAAATAATTAAATAAAATAAATAATAAACTAAGGTCATTATGCTATGGTTACATAAACTTACTCCTATTTCCTTCTGCAGCAATGTAAGTTGAGCTAAAGAAAGAAAAATAAATAAAACCTCATCATTGCATTCAAATAAAGGCGTGTATTTAAATTATCTTTTTATATTTGCAAACGCAGCAGAGCAAAAAATCTAAACGGTTATCTTTTTTAATGATTGATCATTTTACTCCGAGACATAAAATAAATTAAACCAATCGATATTTTAATCTGTTCAGAGCTACGCAAAAAAATTTTTAACTTCTATAAATTAACTTTGAAAGTTTTATCTTGGGTCTCAAAACTTTTTATCTTAAAAGAGCATTTAAAATAAAATTTAAATACTTGTTTTTAAAACTAAGTAAATGTTGATTATATTTGTTAACTAATACTATATAAAAATTATAAGAAAACATATTCGGAAACGCAAGCAAATTGGCTCCTGCCACCACCGGCCGCTGCCGCGACACGCTCGCTTCGTTCATTTGGCTCGTGCTGCTGTTTCATATAATAACCTAACTTGCTGAATCAGTGCAACCAAACAACCAATATTTATTAGGAGATCAATATCAAATACAGGTTATAAATGTCAGCAATTGTTGAAAGAAAAGAGCAATAATAAAAAAGAGAATCAAACATTATTATTGAATACCAAATATTAATTTAGTATGCTTAAACATAATAAAAGTGTAACCTTGATTGCAGTTCATTTATAATTTATCCGTAGATCAACTAATATAGTCGGTACAATATATATTGATATATATAATATAAATTGATCTTAAAAAAATATTATGCACATTTTCAATATATCAACTTATATTATCTCTCAAATAAATCATTAATCAATTTCAGACAAACTCCACCACTTTGAGAAAATCCGAGACGACGCAACATTCAATTTGCCTTACGACTATAAATCGGCTACCCATCCTGCGTGGCAGTTCTGGAGACAGATTGGACGAACGGGAATATCTACTGTCGCTACTTATAAAGAACAGGTTAGTTGGGAATTATATTTAATATTTTTTTTATATCTTCCTACTAGACGTAACCCCCGAATATCTACCTAACAAGACAATAATTTTATTTTCGAATATATAAAGAATTTTGGAGCAGTAGAGCTCCTTGTGAGAGTTCGTCCAGAGAAGTACTGCCATCTTATCTATTCCTGCTGCCAAGCGCTAATGTGAGCATAACTGTTTCGGATTTGAAGGGTAAGTGTGTTGGTCAAATGGGTAATTTTCAGGTAAGTTTTTTGTACTCAATTTTGGTGACAATTTCTTTTTATTTAAATATTTATAGAATATCATCATGAAGTATTATTTAATATTTGAGTGTGGTAACGTGAAATATTCTTTAATATTTCACGATGATATATTCGAGTAATTAAATAATAAAAATTGTCACTAAATTTGAGTACAAAAACTTACCAGAAAATGGCTGAAATTACCGGCACATGGGACTTGTCAACTTGTGTATTGTACTGCCACTGGTGGGCTCGCGGTAGTGTGCGTTCTCGCGTTCCCACCAAAAATCGACGAGGCGAAACATCGTCATGTTCAACTTTCGTCTCATTTTTTATTTAAAAAAAGGGAACTATTTATTTATGTGGTCTGTGAGTGTTACCTATTTCTGTCGCCTAACTGGGACTTCTCAGTTCGGGGTGACTAGACTGTAGCAATAGATCTTTGCGATTTAAGACTCTGAATTTTTTAATAATACCAATAATGGCGGGACGAACAAGTCGTGCGCCTTGTGGGAAGCGACACGTCGGTCCATAATGGTTGCAATGCGACTTAGAGCTTTTAATCGCAAAGATTTTAGGGGCACTGCCACTGTTGTGCCGGTCACCCTGAATACGGTCACACTTGGTATTATATGAATTAAAACTGTAGGACCATTATTAAGGTACCCTCTTTCCAACAGAAAAGAATCATCGAAATCGGTTCGCAAATGGAGTTATCGCGTAACATGTATAGAAAAAAAAAATACAGTCGAATTCAGAAAAAAATAGTCGGTTAAAAAAAAGAGTTTAAAGCGGTGTAGGAAGCTTGTTTATTTTGATTGTCTTCTTTGCTTCTCATCTCAGGATCCTGACGGCTCATTGATGAAGTCATTAGGACAAAACAGTGAGTTACTATCGGAGAGTGATATAATAAAAATCAACAGTATCTACGGCACAGAATGTTTCGGTGGTGAACCATCACCCACTCAACTAGATGATGAAAATACCAACAATGAAAAGCAAACGAAACCACATAAAAAACGAGACGATAAAATGGAGGAATTCGACGAAGACAGGTATAGATCACTTGTTTTTATTTTTTATTTATTTACTTATTTGTATTCAGGTTACAAAGACCCATAAATACATGCTTTATAGACTAACTATTATTTACACGCATTGTCTGCGATGTGTGACGCAATGAGGGTGTCCGGTAGCCGGCCTCGGAAACATCGCTACATGATACTCTTCGGCCAAAACTTCATTGTGGTCTATTGAAATGCCGATGTATCTCTGAACCGATGAACTCCCCATATTACTAAAATATCACTATATACATTATATTATGTCTCAGGGTGATGGGTGCAGTACCCATCAGATCTTTGCGATTTAAAGCTCTGAGTGGCACTGCACCTGTTATGGATAGTCACACAGAGATGGGCAGTGGGTTAAAATCCAATTAACTCGCCCGGGTTTTAACCGGGTTTTTACTCAAAGCGTCGGGTCTTAATCCATTTCCGCTCAGAATCTTGGGCGGAAACAGCGCATATGGAATTTGGTACAATTCCATACTATCAGAAATTTCGATGCAAAAAATCTATTTTAGACGAAAAAGAGGCAACTCCACGCTATACCCACCTTGCGATCATGTCATCGAGTATATAACCAGAAACAGAGACGAAATAAGGGCCATCCATCCCTGGCAACTCATCAGGCAAATGGGCCTTATATCACTTTTAAATATCAACTCTCGTGTGCGCTGAAATCACAAATCTGACACAAACAGCAACAACTGACCTGTCTGGTTTATTCCAAAAACATTCTGTATTTTTTGTAATAAAGATAATATCTCTAACTATAGGGGGCTGTTCTATTCGGTGGTGTGGGATAAACAGCAAAACATCTAATTATAAAGCAAACGGAATCACATTTCATCGGTAATTAAATATTAAATATGTATTTTTTTAATTTTCGTCCGTTGTAGCAAAGCTCAAGTTAAACTGGTCGATTTGAAGTTAAAAAATTGACGACTCCCGTCAATTGTTTCGAATTCGGGCTGGCCAATCGGAGCGCAGTTGTCACCGTAATGATTTGGCAGAATAGTTTTCAAATAAATTAAATGACGTTTCGTCTCTATTTCTGGTTTTATGTACTCGATGAATAGTGTGGATTCTCATTACCAAGGATACACTTTACGACTCGATTTATAAGAAAATCGATTCAAGGGCATATAATATAACGATTTTCAAGTGAATTGATTCAATAGGGATGCAAATCGAATCGTCTAGATCAGAAAGCGTTAAAAATGTTGTTATAATATTATTCAATTTGAACAAAATTCAATTTCTAACAAATATTAAGTTGTAAATAGTTTTTGCCCTCGATTTCGGGCATTAATGAACCTGACTTAAATTTGTACATTTCTGGGCGCACTACTTGTTAGCGCCATCACTTGATATTATACAATAAATTTCTCAGACCTTTATTACAAAACTTAATTTCTTTTTTTAACGGTACTTATTATAGCAATAAAACGAAAGACGAAGAAACAGAGAGGGAAGAACAAGAGTTGCAAGAGCGTGCCAATACAGAAGATAAGAAACGAGATATTGAAAAAAAAAGTCGAAGTAAAAGAAATAAGAGATTGGACCTGCATGATGAAAGTTTCGATAAGCGAGTTAAGAAATCTATAGAAAACACTTTGATGAAACGTAGACCGCTGGTTGAAGAAGAAGAACTAGCAGCTAAACCGAATCGGATCATGAAACGAAAAGGTGATGAAAGCGACACAAAAAACACCATGAAATAAAAATCACTTGAGCGCCTTCTAGAGGTCAAGTGATTTCAGAAAGAAAATGAAATGCGATAAAAGAACACATAACAAGATACCTATAAAACGTTGAAACACCATATACAAAGATCCAACAACAAGCACATAGAAAAATTCGTGAGGTTCGCTGGTTCGTTCCGTGTCTTAGTTGGCATAGCGTCTGGCCCGGTTTGCTAGCCTTTTGACCGCCACTGACAAAGACTAGTTTCGTTCCCTAGACCCCAAGCCTATTATAGTGATGTGATATGAAGATTTGTACCTAATATTAATTCAATTCTTCTAAGTGATAGAAGAACATAACAACTAATGCAACTATGAAACCATACTTGATTACAATATATAAATAATAACACAAGAAATGTCTTAATATTTATTAATTAATTCCAATTGAAAATGTTTTATTGACGGTTTAAGACGTGATTGAGTTAATGTAAGACGCTTTGAAGTGTTCACGGCGGTCAAAGGGCTAGAAGACGTCAACCGACGCGTTTGGTTCGAATCCGGTCAGGGTCCCGATTCAGAACTTTTTGATATCTTAACCGAATCGTTCAATTGGATATCGTTCTCGAATCGAAGGGCGCTTTCAGAGCTATTCAGAACATTCCGAGTTAAACGTTCGATTAGGACCTAAATACATTATCCAAGAGCGTTTACGGAGTTAGTCGGTGAAATGGATGACAAGAAAAACGAAAATCCTTTTATATACTTAGAATAATAACGCATAGAATGATAGTTTCATATAAAAAGAACTGTCACAAGTGAGGCAAAAATCAAATTCATGTAGGCTAGTTTTAGTAGTAGGTTAATTTTCGGTTTTAGTGAATATTTATATAAAAATACAAGTTGAAACGCGTTACTTCCTTGTGGAATGTGATGTTAGTATCTATTTTATGTTTGTCTGACGTATTTTTACACTCATTTACCGCACATTTCGTCGTTTTTAGCTAAAATTCTTGAGCTATTCGCGGTGCAAGTTGACCTTGAGCACTGAAGGCCCGCCCGCTCGTATAGCCCTTTTGGCGCACTTCAATTTGCCTCACTAAGCGTGTGCGGACTAGGTTTCTATGCGTTATTATTCTAAGTTTATATACATTTTTAAGACTTTAAAGTCCTAAAATATAGGAATGCATTAGTCTTGCATTAAAGTACATTAATAAAATTGAACAAAATCCAGACTTTATTTCAAATAATAAGATATTTCCGTGTACGTTCTTGCGTTGTAAACAATAGGACGTTCGGTAACTTTCATTCAATAACTGTGTTGTGAATAACTTAGGCTTGGTTCTGAAAGGCTTTATAGCCTTTGTCGGTCGAAAAGTTCGAGTAATCGTACGGGTGTGACGTCTTTTCGGTTCGGTTTCGAATACGACAGTTTGACGTTCGATTCGGGTGTTGTGAATAAAAATGAAAAGAAATCGGTCGACAACTGAGTTATCGTAGGGTTCTGAATCGACCCCCAGATCGTAGGAATTTTTTCTAAGGTGCACGAGTTTTCCGCTTGCATTTCCCGCTTGCTTGCGTTGGCTGGGTGACGGTGTTGAAATCTGCCTTCCGCGCAAAGGCATTCACGAGTCTTCCGCTTTGCGTTTCGGAGAGACTTGCGCGCATGCGTGGCGCCTTGCCTTTGTTTGGGTTGTCGACACTCTCGAACCGGCTGCTGCTCTGTGATTGGCCAGTGGTGCTGTCCTCCGCAAACGTTCCTTGTTGCTTGCGTGGAAATATCAAACTTGCTAGATATCAAACTCACGCAACGCGCAAAGCGAGCGACTCGTGAACAGGGGGCCGACCACAACCTCTTAAACAATATTACTTCAACCTTACATTGACTTTTCGCACCATGGCGCGCTTAAAAGTGAGCTTATTATAATGTTAAACTATGTTGTTTTATTGGCAGCTTTGTGACTATTCATTCACTCAGTTCGTAATAAGACGAGACTTTAACATTAAAGTAATATTGTTCTTATGCCAAATTTAGCAATCTTAAAATAGTTACACGGATGCAATGGAAACAATATTATTTTCGAATTTATTGTCTAAATATTGATTTGTAATGATTTAGAGTTAAGTTGAACTTATTTATTTACATAAATCTTTTCAATATTTTGTTTATTTTTTTATTTAATAGTACATAGCAAATCATTTCTCGTTAAATAAAAATACGCGATATTTATTTCGTAAAATTATGACAGCGACATCTATATGCTCCTTGGCGACACTAACAGTTGACATTAGACTATAATTCCGAACTCACAACGGGACTATCAAGAACTTAGAGGATGGAAAAAAAAATAAAAGAAAGGAGCTGCCCTAACTACGGAATGAACGTGCATACCTAAACAAAAATTGAACGAATAAATGGCGGATTTCTTTAGTGTTCTACCATAATCTATTGATAAGTCATTATCGACATGCAAACATTTAATTAAAGTAGATCAATATTCCATTTGGGAATATTTCAGGTTATTATGAGAATATCCGGGAGTGTGACATGAAATTTTGAATTTATTGTTTTGCATTTACAAATACTCAAATATTACGAAAAGTGAATTTGCACAAAAAAAAAAATATTTGTAATTTGAGAGTGTATAAAAAAGAGAAAACTTTGAAATGACCATCTGCATCGCGGTAGCTTTTCCTCGATTCACACCTCCCTCCTTTTATCCACCATGACAGCGCTTAAAATAAAAACTGGTCGAACAGCGGTGCACACCCCCACCACAACCAAACCGTTTGAGGTCGAGTTCGCTAACATCCGCGGACTCCATGCAAACCTCAATGCCGTCCACCACCATCTTGAGACGGCACGGCCAGCAATGATGTTTTTGACGGAGACGCAAATAATCTGCCCGGCCGACACAGGCTACTTGCACTATCCGGGCTTTGTGCTTGAAGAATCCTTCAAAGCCAAAGCCGGAGTTTGCTTGTTCGTTCGGGCGGATGTTTGTTGTCGGCGTCTGCGCTGTCTGGAGGACCCTTCCTTTTCCCTCCTTGTGGTACACGTCGACTTGGGCTCTCATAGCCGTGTCTATGTTTGCGTCTACCGATCCCATAATGGCGACATGGAGACAACTCGACTTATGGACCATCTTAGTCGGGTAGCAGATGATGCGCAGGAGCGATTTCCATTGGCGGAATTGGTGTTTTTGGGGGACTTCAATGCTCACCACGAGTTGTGGTTAAGTTCCTCCAAAACTGACCATGCTGGTAGAATTGCCCATGCATTCGCCCTCACGCACGACCTGACTCAACTGGTGAACCAGCCCACCAGGATCCCAGATATAGTCGGTCACGCGCCCTCTTTGTTGGACCTTCTGCTGACGAATCGTCCAGCTGGTTACCGAGTGGAGGTTCGAGCTCCTTTAGGATCTTCTGATCACTGCTTGGTATCCAGTAAAGTGCCTCTGGACCCGCTACCGCCTTCCGCGGTATCGAAACGCCAGATTTGGCACCACTCGTCGGCAGATTGGGATGGTATGCGGGATTATTTCGCATCCGTTCCTTGGGGGCAGCGCTGCTTCAGTGGGAAGGACCCAACAGCTAGTGCGGCTGCAGTTGCTGATGAGATAGTTTTAGGGATGGAATACTACATTCCAAATTCCTATCTCATCGGCAAAGGCAGACGAAACCGATGGTTCAACCGCGAGTGTGCCAGTGCTGCTGATAAAAGGCAAGAGGCATATCGCGCTTGGATCAAAGGTATAGCACTTGGAGATCCCGAAACCCACTCGCTGAAAGCAGCCTACAATAATGCCACCAAGTCCTGCAAAAGGGCTTACATTAGAGCGGATGCCCAGCGCGTTGCTCGGGTCGGCCAAGAACTACTGACGCATCCTACGGGCAGCCGTAGCTACTGGCGTCTGGCCAAAGCCGTGCAATCCAACTTCTGCCAACCCTCGCTGCCACCATTACGATGTCCTGACGGAACTTTAGCCCACAAGCCGCAGGAGAAGGTCGATCTCCTGGCTAAACTCTTTGCGGCTAACTCCCGAATCGTCGACTGCAATGCACAGCCACCTATAATTCCTCACTGTGGCCACACAATGCCCGATCTTAAAATCAGGCAGTGTGATGTCCGTGCAGAGTTGCAGTCAATCGATGTCCGGAAAGCTAATGGTCCTGATGGCATTCCTCCAATCGTTCTGAAAATGTGTGCAGCGGAGTTGTCCCCCGTGTTAACGCGCCTTTACCGCCTCTCGCTCTCTTCAGGTTGTGTGCCGGAATCTTGGAGAAAGGCTAATGTGCAACCGGTCCCCAAAAAAGGAGATCGATCAGATCCGAATAATTACCGCCCAATAGCCGTAACTTCAGTTTTGTGTAAAGTGATGGAACGGATTTTAAATAAACAGCTAATCCACTACCTAGAAGAACACTCCTTAATTCACGATCGTCAATACGGGTTTCGGCCGAAACGGTCAACGGGTGATCTTTTAGCGTTTATTACACATCTCTGGGGTGTGGCTATTGATAAGCGTGGCGAGTCGATGGCTGTTAGCCTTGACATAGCCAAGGCTTTTGATCGGGTCTGGCACAAAGCTCTTCTCTCCAAACTCCCGTCATACGGCCTGCCTGCCCAGTTCTGCAACTGGGTCGCTGGCTTCCTGCATGAGCGCAGAATCCGAGTGCTGTCAGACGGATGCGCTTCGGAATTCATGTCAGTGAACGCTGGTGTCCCTCAGGGGTCCGTTCTATCCCCCACGCTGTTCCTTCTGCATATCAATGATATGCTTCCACTTGGAAATATTCATTGCTATGCAGATGATAGTACAGTGCACGGAGGGTATAATGGTCACCCTGCGGCTGGGCGGGTCGAGACTGAAGAGAAGCGAGTGAATCTTGTCATTGAGCTCAATCGGGTGTTGGACCTCATATCTCAATGGGGCTCCAATAATCTTGTTGAGTTCAATGCCAAGAAAACACAGGTGTGCGCGTTCACGGCAAAAAAGACACCATTCCTTCCCCTTCCTTCTCTTCAGGGCACACCACTTAGCCTACAGAGCAGCATTAGCATGCTCGGTACGGAGATTCGCTGCGATCTGAACCAGAGGGACTACATTGAAGCCGTGGTAAAAACAGCTTCACGTAAACTCGGTGTCCTGAACAGAGTGCGACGCTTCTTCGCGCCGGATCAGTTGTGTCTCTTGTATAAGACACAAGTGCGATCGTGCGTGGAGTATTGTTCGCACCTCTGGGACGGTTCCGCTAAGTACCTTCTCGATGCCTTGGACAGATTGCAGCGGCGCGCTATACGCATTATCGGCAATGCAGAGGTCACTAATACTCTCGAACCTCTGCAATTGCGTAGAGATATTGCGTCACTCAGCGCTTTCTACCGTTTATACCACGGCGAGTGCTCTGAAGAACTCTTTGACCTTATCCCACCTTCTCCCTTCCTCCATAGGAGCACGCGTGCTGCTCTCCGGAGTCACCGCTATACTGTCTCTAGCATTCCATCGCGCACAAAGAAATTTGGTGACTCGTTTCTTTGTCGCACTTCCAAAAGATGGAACAATCTACCAGCACACGTATTTCCTCCTTCCTATGACTTGGGGTCCTTCAAGCGAGGCGTGAAGAAGCACCTTGTAGGCCGGCAGGGTGAGGGCGACTGATGATGCGTTGTTTTCACGCTGCACCAGTTGTCCTTGCGTCTGGACTCCGTTTCATTTAACATCAGGTGGGACGGAGTCATCTGTCGAGCTTAGTATATAAAAAAAAAAAAAAAAAAA